TTCGAGTATTTATATATGCATATATTTATATATAAAATATGTATATGAATATTTTATATATTTCTTACGTATTATAAAGTGTCTGTATATAATAGATGTGAGTATATATATATATATATATATATAAAACTAAAAATAAATACTCAAAAGCCATTTTTTTCCAACATCAATAAAATAGTCCTATCTATTTTATACGTATAACATTAGGGATGTATACCTGCAGATAAAATGGAAATAGGAGATACTCCAAATGGCATCAGGTACATTAACAAGTAAATTTTAAAAATTAGATGAAATGGCCAGTTTGCTAGAAAATATTGAAATTTGGTTCTATATAAAAATGAAAAGGCTAATAAAAATTTTAAAACATTGATATAGCTCTGTTCTTCCAAAAACCCACCCAGATAGTTTTACAACTTTGGTAAACATATAGTTCACTCATTCAATAGCTACTTTAAAGTGCCTATTATGCCCTTAAAAGGTATTGTTGTTCTAGGCTCAGGGTATATTTTCTGGCTAACATTTTTTGAGTGCTTATTAGATGCTAGATACCATTCCTTTTACGTGTGTTAGTGTATTTGTTCTTCATAATATGTGGTGGGGAGCAGGTGATTATTGTTATTTTGTAAGTATACAGAACTGTGGTACAGAGATGCTCAATACCTTGTGGCCAAAATGATCTTTTTAAAAACACAGATCAAGTTAACCTGCTTATAACTCTTCAGTGGCTTCTTACTGGTCTCTGCAAAAGACCCATATCCTTAACAAGGACCTAAAAGCCCAGCAGTATCTGGTTGCTCTTGCTACTGACTTCTCTAAAATAGACTTGTACCACTTTTCTCTCTCTGTATCCTGTCTTTCAGGACCTCAAAGGTATCTTCCTCTCGTCTTCCTTAGTATCTTGCTGGGTGTTATTCTTTTTTACCCACTGACTTGTTCCACTCACTCCCTTATGCCTAGTGAAAGCCTGATAATTCTATAGATCTTAACTCTACTTCTGGATGTCTTCCAATTTCTAGATAAAATGAAGTCCTCCTACTGAGCACACCCATAGTCTTATGAACTTAACTTCATAGCCCCTATTGGAGTAATACTTTGACATGCATTTGTGTAATAATTTGATTAATGTCTGTTCCCATACTTGATTGTATGAGGGCATGGACTATACATACACATACACACACACACACACAGATATATATATATGTATTTTGAGGCAGGATCTCACTCTTGTCACTGAGGCTGGAGTGCAGTGGCGTGATCACAGCTCACCGTAGCCTCAACCTCCTGGGCTCAAGTGATCCTCCTGTCTCAGCCTCTCAGGTAGCTGGAACCACAGATGTGTGCTACTATGCCTGGCTAACTTTATTTTTGGCAGAGATGGTGTCTTGCCATGTTGCCCAGGCTGGTCAGAAACTCCTGTGCTTGAGTGATCCTCCCACCTTGCTGTGTTGGGATTACTGGCATGAGCCACTGTACCTAACCAATGTTTTCACTCACCATTGTATCCCTAGCACCTTGGATAGTGCTGATACATATCAAGCACTCAAGAATGATTTAAATTTCTAAATGGATGATTTATTTTATTTATAACATACATGAACTGGCATTAAAGTTTTCAAGAACCTAAATCAATATAATGTGGGGCTAGTCAATTATCCAAAAACGATTCTCCTAAAACCTAAAAAGAAATTAGTAAAATTTTCAGTATGTCACAATAACAAAGGACAAAGTTGGACTGTCTGTTCCATAATATTTTAAAAACTAACTTTAAAACAAAAATCGCCGGGCGCAGTGGCTCAAGCCTGTAATCCCAGCACTTTGGGAGGCTGAGGCGGGTGGATCAAGAGGTTGAGAGATTGAGACCATCCTGGTCAACATGGTGAAACCCCGTCTCTACTAAAAATACAAAAAATTAGCTGGGCATGGTGGTGCGTGCCTGTAATCCCAGCTACTCAGGAGGCCGAGGCAGGAGAATTGCCTGAACCCAGGAGGCGGAGGTTGCGGTGAGCCGAGATCGCGCCATTGCACTCCAGCCTGGATAACAAGAGCGAAAACTCTGTCTCAAAAAAAAAAAAAAAAAAAAAATCAGTAGAACATAGTTACTGGGAAATTAAACAAGTTGGGAAACGCAAAAATAGAGTGGAAGATGATCTTCACCCTACACATCTCTCCAACACTGTCTAGGATTACAGACATTAAATGACTTTACCTCTTTCCTTAATCAAAACAAATTGTTCAGGGAGAATGATTTAAAGGAATAGTTCCAGCCAGGTGTGGTAGCTCATGCCTATCATCCCAGCACTTTGGGAAGCTGAAGCCGGCAGATCACTTGAGGTCAGGAGTTGGAGACCAGGCTGGCCAACACAAAGAACCCCATCTCTACTAAGAATAGAAAAATTAGCTGGGGGTGATGGTGCATGCCTGTAATCCCATTACTTGAGAGGCTGAGGCAGGAGAATCACTTGAACCCAGGAGATGAAGGTTGCACTGAGCCACTGAACTCCAGCCTGGGCGACAGAGTAAGACTGTCAAAAAAAAAAAAAAAAAAAAAGAAAGAAAGAAAGAAAAGAAAAGAAAAGAAAGAAAGCAAGGAAAGAGTCACTTTAAGGATGACTAAAGATGCAATGAATAAAGCTAAACCAAGCCATGTAACTACAGGTGTAAATGTAAAACTAACATTCCTTGACTATTTACTGTGTCAGGAATGATCTATGAGCATTTCCAAATAGACCACTTTGCACTGAATATGAGCATTTATTAACTCATGTTTTTTCAAATCAACTCGATGAGGTAGTTACAATTATTATCTCCATCTTACAAGTGAGAAGATCACCCAAGTTTTAAGTGGGCAGAGTCAAGATTTAAATCCAGGCTAAGGTAAGGTTAAGACGCCAGTAGTTAAAATAGATCCTCCCTGATTGGAGGTAAATACTGAAGATTTTTTTTTTTTTTTTTTTTTTGAGACGGAGTTTCGCTCTTGTTACCCAGGCTGGAGTGCAATGGCGCGATCTCGGCTCACCGCAACCTCCGCCTCCTGGGTTCAGGCAATTCTCCTGCCTCAGCCTCCTGAGTAGCTGGGATTAGAGGCACGCGCCACCATGCCCAGCTAATTTTTTGTATTTTCAGTAGAGACGGGGTTTCACCATGTTGACCAGGATGGTCTCGATCTCTCGACTTTGTGATCCACCCGCCTCGGCCTCCCAAAGTGCTGGGATTACAGGCTTGAGCCACCGCGCCCGGCCACTGAAGATTTTTTAATTCACACAAACTGTTTTCTTATCTAGACCATTTCACTAGCCCTCTGGTTGGTTTCCTTGACTCTAATTTTGCTCTCCTTAAATCCATTTTCCACCCTGCATCCAGTGATCTGGACTTGTACAAAATTAGGGGAAACCTACTCAGCAGGGCAAACAAGGCTGATTCATGCTTCATGATCCCAGCCTTCTGGCCTCTCTAGTGTCCTTTTCTGCTACTCCCCACCTAGACTTTATATGTCTTAAAGTGTAATAAAACCTCAGTACTTGTAGTGTCCACTACACACTAACCATTCTCACTTAAAATATATTTTACAAACTATGTGTCTTTTTGTTCCCTTTTCTGAAATGCCCCTTGTTCCTTGCATTTTTGTCTCACTTAAGCATCTTTCTGGATTAAATTTTATTTTCTCCAAGAATCCTCTTCTGAAACCCTTAGAAGTTACTGTCCTCTACTGGTACTAGCCTATCCTTTATTGAAATCACCTGTTTGTGAGTCAGGAAAAGTTTAAACTCTTATTAAACTCTTTGAAAAGAGGAACTCTTTCTCTTTTAGTACACTACTCCCCTCTAGTCTCCCATCCCTCCTGGCATTTGTTAATGTTCAGTAAAAGTTGAACTTTTGAACACTACTGGAAATCAAGAAACACTGAGTTTTAGCCTCAGTTTTGCTCACTATGTGATCTTACATATTTTATTCTCTGTGTTTATCTTATGTATCTATATACAACTTAATCCTAAAGTTCCATCGGATAAAAATTTCATCAGATAAAAATTCTACAACTTTTTATTTTGCTCATCATGTGACGGTACCTGGTATTTAAAAAAAAAATTCCCCTACATCAACTTAAAAAATTAACATTTGATTATAATTAACTTCTAAAAAACTGAAAGATGAAACATATCAATGCCCTTTTTTTTTTTTTTTTTCCTGTACTGCTACCTGAAAACATCGAAATTTGCTGTGTGGAACGAACAAGATTTCTTCTAAGAAATTACCCCTACTAGCATGACTACATAAAACAAGGTAATTCCCAGAAAGAATATCATGCAGATGCTAAAAAGAAAACAATGACACGGGGCAAATGCTTACAATGCTCAATGAAGAGAAAGGTTATAAAGTTTTAATATACGATTTGATCATTTGAAAATAATGGATATATAACTTAAACGGAAATGTATCATTAAATATAGCAACGGCCTCTTCCAAAAAATTTCAAAATCCGGCTTAGTGATAATTACACGACCATAATTCAAAAACCTTTAACCGAAGCAAAGACAGTGAAGATTTGTAACCGGAATTGTGCGAAAGGAGTGGGGGTGATTCAAACAAGTGTCATCACCCCGTCCAATGATGAAGGAGAACGTGTATCAGTTCTGCATTGTGAAATTCTCAGTATCGGAGCGTGTAGTGGCTAAGAAAAGCGATGGGCGAATTAGGAAACAGAGAAAGGCCACGGACATCACCAGTTCTGGCCTCTTTCCGACCGGAGGAAAGGGGAGAAGGCGGGTAGTCGTTAATTCCAGGTACCGCCTAAGTTCTGGGTCCCCGGCCCTAGCGAGAGCCTCGCCTCGCCTCGCCTCGCCTCGCCTAGCGCGCCTGCGCGGAGCTGGCCGGCTTCCCGGACGGCCCTCGCTTCTTCACCACCCGGGCAGTCCACCAGAAGTTTCTAAAAGGGTGAGAGGCGACAATGCAGTGCAGCTGGGTTAAAGGAAGGAGGCTGGTTCATCCTCCGCACTTACTTGGTACTCGATCTCCAGCGAGGCCTTCAGGGGCATGGGCTGATAGAAACACTCTTTCTGGCCTGCGGGAAGGGTAAAGGTGAAGTCGCTGTCGAGTGAAGGTGTGAAACCGGCCGCCCCAGGCAGCAGCTCCGGAGGCAGAGCGGCCAGAAGGAGCACGGGGAAGGACAGCCAGATCCTGTCGCCCATCCCTGCTGGGGTGATCTCGGGCTCAAAGAGGCTTGGGGTACTGTTGTCTCCGCTCCGCGTTTCCTCTTTGGACTCCTGGAGGTTTACAGCGAAACCTGGAGTCTGAAGAAACTCCAGGTGGCGGCGGCTGCCGCGAACACTCCTTCCGAAAGAGAAGCGCGGTCCTCCAAAGGGTAGGGACTCAGGGCGGGACCGGCAGTCGGTTCCGCCACCTCCTTAGTCTCTGCTCCCTCTAGCCAGGCGTGAGCACCGCCCGCCTCTGCCCCTGACGGCCTCCGGTTCCCATGGCTTCCCCCACACCAATGGGCATTATGGCAGTAATTGTGGGAAATGTAGTACCGAGCGAGCTCGGCTAGCTGGCTTCGACGCGCTAGTCGACCACGATTCCCGGCAAGCCCTGCGCCTCCGGCGGCGCCACACGCAGTCTGCGCCGGGGCGGGGCAGCGGCCGAGTAGGCGCGTCCCAACGGCTCCCGCGACCGTTCGAACTTCGTGCTGCTGCGGTTCGCTGATTCTCCGAGTAGTGTCTGAGACTTCCATACTCTGGGGCCCGGGAGAGGGTCCGAGGCTTCCTAACGCAGACTCGAGTGCGAAGCGCGCCGTCGCCAGGGGGATCTCTCCCCAGCTACGACTTGGGTGGTGAGCGACTGCCTCTTGGCTGGGGGAAGCCGGCCTGCCTGGGGGAGTTTTGTTCCTTTTCCTCCCCGCACCTTGGATGCGCTGGGGCTGGTCCTCGCGCTTGCTGAGCATGCTGCTTTGAACGGTTTTATCTTATTTGATGAAAAATAGGAAGGCGCAGTGGCTCACACCTGTTATATCAGCACTTTGGGAGGCCGAAACGGGAAAATTGGCTGAGTCCAGGAGTTCGAGGCCAGTCTGGGCAACGTGGCCTGACTCTTGTCTCTATAAATTAAAAAAAAAAAAGGAAGATGTCACGTCTGCCCCCCACTCCCCGCCCTCGCTTCTTTCAGTCGAATGTAGGATCAGCGGTGTCTCTAGAAATTTAAAAAAAAAAAAAAAAAAAGGAAGATGTCGTTTCGCCCTTCCTTACCCACCCGCGCTTCCTTCAGTCGAATGTAGGATCAGCTGTGTCAAATTAAGCGATCTTGAGACAGGAGACTACCTTATAAAGTTATGACCTCTTTCCAGAATGAGGAAATTTTTTGACTACAGCCCATTGTATCACATACAAAGGGTATAAAAGAACACTTGTCCTTCGTTTGATGGGTGTGCATGTGCAAACCTGCAAACACGTTGTTAATTAGGGCCGAAAGCTGATGTTGTCAGGGTCCGTGAGTAGGATGATGCGCTTTTCTAGGTATGCACAGTCAGTGAAGATATTGGGCAACTACTGTAAACTGAGGTGAAGGGCAATCATTTGACAGTAAATGACCCACTAGGAAAATGAAAACATTTTAGTAACCAATGTATTCATTGCTACTGCAGAAAAGTTAGAGAGTTATTTCTTTTTTTTTTTTTTTTCGGTATGCAAATGTTTATAGGAGCTTTATTTTTAAATTTTATTTATTTTTTAAGACGGGGTTTTACCATGTTGGTCAGGCTGGTCTTGAACTCCCGACCTCAGGTGATCCGCCCGCCTTAGCCTCCAAAGTGCTCGGATTACAAGCATGAGCCACCACGCCCGGCCTATGAGAGTTATTTCTTTTCTTTTTTTTTTTTTTTTTTTTTTTTTTTTTTTTTTTTTGGAGGTGGAGTCTTGCTCTGACACCAGGCTGGAGTGCAGTGACACAATCTCGGCGCACTGCAGCCTCCGCCTTCTAGTTCAAGTGATTCTTCCGCCTCCCGAGTAGCTGGGATTACAAGCGCGCCCCACCACGCCTGGCTAATTTTTGCATTTTTTTATTTTTATTTTTTGGTAGAGATGGGGTTTCACCATGTTAGTCAGGATGGCCTTTAACTCCTGACCTCGTGATCCACTCACCTTGGCCTCCCAAAGTGCAGAGATTATAGGTGTGAACCACCGCACCTGACTTGAGAGTTATTTCTTACATGAAAATACACAGATGTTGAACTAAAACCTGATTTAAGATGAAATATACAGGGCCAGGTGTGGTGGCGGGCCCCTGTAATCCCAGCTACTCGAGAGGCTGAGACAGAGAATTGCTTGAACCCGGGGGGCAGAGGTTGCAGTGAGCCGAGACACACCACCGCACTCCAGCCTAGGCAACAGAGCAAGACTCCAGCTAAAAAAAAAAAGATATGATACCGAATCACATTTTAGGATTTGCCCAATTTTCTCTACCCTTTTCTCCTTCACCATCCTTCAGAGAGCTAGAGATGTTGAATAGATAAGGCAGGATTCGGACCTGATTTGTTGACTTGTCTGAGAGTGTCTTCTCACTTAAGCAGAAGCAAATTTGTGGAAACAAAATGGGAAAAAGGATCAATTTGTCCATTGAGATGACATAGTATTTCATTTAATTTCCTGCCACTTTCTTCCCATAAGGTGAGAGTTTTTTTTTAATCGTCTGCCCTACCTCTTAGAATTTTTGAGTGGGGAATAAATGTAGCATACTATTCTAACTGGATGAGGAAAGGAAGGACAGTTCAGTATTCATTAATTCATTTAAAATATTGAGCTTCTCCAAGTACATTGAAGTCCTGAACGTAATGCACATGACTCCTAACCTTTTGGAATTTGGGATGGGATGTGAATTATAAGAAGGGCAATGAAAGATGCTACAATGAAAAAGGTAAATAGGATCTCAAAGAGGAATGTAATTTTAAGATTGCTCATAAAGCTCTACAGGAGTAGTGGCGATTATAAAGCTTTAGTTTTTTATTGTATTACAGTATTGTGATGCTTTATTATGATTTTTTATAAGCAAAGAAATTTAGTAGTCTCACAAACCTAGAGATACTCATCCACTGAAGAAACAAAAGCTTTACTTCCTTTATTTCTATGAGTTGACCTGGCAATGTTATTTTAATCTCTGTGGTTGTGACTTGTAAATGTGTGTTTTTTAAATTTTATAACTATGGGGCTAGGAGGAGGAAATAACTTTTATCTGGTAATAAATTCCCTTCTAAGAAAATATGAATGACAGTAATGATACCATTTTATCAGCTGTCCAGTGCTTGTAACCCGATTATGAAAGTTCAAACACCTCATATTGAAATTGATATGTAATAAGTAATAAAGCTACAATGCGACAAAGTTAAATGGTCTTTGCATCCTAATGACTTGGATTCAAATCTTGGTTTCACCATTTACAGTTTGTGTGACTTTGTCTGATTCTTAGTTTCCTTAATATGGAATAAAAATACGTAAACAATTGTTAGAAAGATCAGGTATGCTTAGAAAAGGGGAATTGTAATAACTAGAAACTAGCGAAAATGAAAAATTCATTCGCTGAAATTGTACTGAACTTTTCTTTGTAGCTTTACACTATAACCAAATTCATTATTATTGATTTTTTGTTTTGTTTTTAACTGCCATGAAAGATTTGACAACATTTGAAATAGAAAACTAATGAGTTAAATTCTATTCGTGTATTTTGACTGAAACTACAGAATCTTTCATGCAAAGTACCAAAAAATTCATTTCTTTTTTTAAGAAATGGAATCTAGTTCATCAGACTACTATAATAAAGACAATGAAGAAGAAAGTTTGCTTGCAAATGTTGCTTCCTTAAGACATGAACTGAAGATAACAGAATGGAGTTTGAAGAGTTTAGGGGAAGAGTTATCCAGGTAAGTAGGTAAAATCAGTTATAGAATTCAGTGTGCCTTAAATATATAAATATAAAATGTGTGTATTTCATTATTATATATTGTTTCTAATGTGCCTCTGGAATAAGAAATAATTTTCTTGTACTTTTTAATGTAACTTTCAGTTTAGGAAAAAATAGGAATATTAGATAAGCATTTACATATTAAAAACACTTTCAGTGTATTAGAACTCAGTATAAAATATATATTTTGGGCTTTATTAATTTTTTATTATTATGACTTTTTTGAATCCTAAGTAATCTTAGCATAGAGGCTCTAGAAATATATAGATTGCTAGTTTAAAAGTAATTATGATATATTTAAAATTTAGTGGAAACATTGCCTTACATTCATAACTGTGGACTACTTAGCAGCATTTCAGGATTTCTTTCTATTTTCCTATTTAATGTATAGCAATTTATAGTGAATGAACTACCCAAGAACTGAAATATGTTTTTTCTTTTTTCTCTAGTGTTAGTCCAAGTGAAAATTCTGATTATGCCCCTAATCCCTCAAGGTCTGAAAAGCTCATTTTGGATGTTCAGCCTAGCCACCCTGGACTTTTGAATTATTCACCTTATGAAAACGTTTGTAAAATATCTGGTAGCAGCACTGATTTTCAAAAGAAGCCAAGAGATAAGGTTATTGTTTTTAGACCTATCTAGTTCAAAGTAGTTTTGTTTTTAGGCCTGTCTATTTAAAATATTTTTCTTTCAGTTCTTTTTCAAATACCTTATTCATGGTTCGATAATTCTTAGTGTATTACTCTACTTTTAAACTTATTTATTACCTTTTTGCTGTTAAATGTCTTCTTTTCTCAAGTAAATTATAATACCCTTGATTTTAACACTACATCTTATACATAATAGGTAATCAATTATTTATTAAGTAGTTATGGTATACCTACCATTTAGCTTGGATCAAGTACTATAGATAGCATGGCACTATTCTCCCTTCATTATCTTTATATTTTGTCAATGATGTTAGAGATCTTTGCTTGGTCTGGAACTCTCTCCTTTTTTCTTATTCTGTCATATGTTTATCTCTCTGTATTTATCCCTCTTCCTCACTCAACCCTTTTATCGCCTTTTGCACTCTTCCTATTCTTTATTCCCCCACTCCCTGCATGTATATACACAGATATGGTTACAGATACATGGCATACTCTTTTTGGACATGTATTTGCTCTTTCCACTTCAGAAAGCCAACCATTAAGAGCTTTCCTTTTTGTAAGGAAGCTATTTAATTAAGCTGTCTGGACCTACATTTTAGAAAACAAATTCAAATTCCATGTTTACGTAGTCTGTAATTCTAAGAAATTTTATCTCTGTCCTCATTCAAATTGCTGATCGTTCTTATTGTATATGTGCCTCAATTGGGAAAACAATAATGGTAATGCCTGTCAAAGACAAAAGGCTAATCTAGTGTGTGAAGAGCTCCTAGAAACTGAGAACAAAAAGATCAATAACCTAATAGGCAAAAGACATGAATGGAAAAGAAAATAAAAATGATCTCCAAAGTAATGAAAAGGTGTCCAGTCTCACTCATAATAAGATAAATTCAAAATGAAACTATACCTGTTCTTACCTGTCAAATTATTAAACATACAGATATTTGATACATTATTTTATTAGTGATACTGGGTAGGCATACATCGCCTAGTGCCAGTGATATAACCCCAATGGAGATATATTTGGCAGTATTTATCAAAAT